TAGCCTTACCATCGTGAAAATATGCACGATATTTCAGGCATTTCGCCATTTTTTAGGCATTTCGGGGACTATTTATTTTAATGGATATTTTCACGATGGTAAGGCATGTTTTTGGGCATGTGATATGGTGAAGATTTTGATGAAAGTTTTTTAAAATAGTATCTTTTCTGCATGTTTTTCATCAAATAAAAACATTTTGAAAAAAAATTTTAACTTGTGCATGTCTTTTGGTGAGATGGTAAAAATTTTTGATGAAAATGTTTTGATAAAAATGCTCAAAATTTAATCTTTTTTTTTAAAAAATTGGGAATTTTTCATTAAAATTCTATTCCACTAGTGGTCAGATGGTGAAGATTTCAATGATTTTTTTTGTTAAAATTTTATTTTCACATCTTGTGTTCAGATGGTGAAAAATTTTGAAGAAAATGTTTGGAAAAAATTCTCAAAATTTAATCTTTTCTGCATGTTTCTCATCAAATAAAAACACTGGAAACATTTTTTGAATTTTTAAAAAAAATATTTGGTAAAATTATTTTCGCATGTCTCATCAGATGGTAAAAAATCTTGATGAAAATGTTTGAAAAAAAATTAAATATTTCATCTTTTCTGCATGTTTCTCATTAAACTAGGGCTTTTCAAAAATATTTTGGAAAAACATTTTTTAGAATTTTTTGTTAAAATTTTATTCTTGCATTTCTTATAGTCATAAGGTGAAATTTTGATGAAATCTTTTTCAAAAGTTTTACCTTTTTCTGCGTGTTTCTCATCAAATTAGGGCATTTCGAAAAAATGTTTGGAAAAATTTTATGGGGGGAATTTTCGGTAAAATTTGATTTTCGCATGTGTTGTAGTCTGATGATGAAAAATTTTGATGAAAATCTTTGAAAAAAAAAAATCAAAATGTCATCTTTTCTGCATGTTTCTCATGAGATTAGAGAGTTTAAAAAAAGACTTTTGTAAAATCCGACTCGCGTGTCATGGTAAAATTTTATTTTCACATGTCTTGTGGTCAGATGGTGGAAAAGTTTGATGAAAATCTTTGGGAATAAAAATTCAACATTTTATCTTTTCTGTAGGTTTCTCATCAAATTAGAGTATTTTGAAAATTTGGGGAAATTGTTTTGGAATTTTTCAGTAATATTTTATTAATTTTATAAATTTATTGTCTTGTGGTCAGATGTTGAAAACTTTTTATAAATGGTTTTTTACATTTTAAAAAAAGTTTGGAAAATTGTTTTTTGGGAATTTGCCGTTTTGTGTGTCATGTGGTCAGATAGTGAAAAATTTTGCTGATTTTTTTTCTTCAAACTTTGATCTTTTCTGCATGTTTCTCATTAAATTAGGGCATTGTGAGAAATATTTTAGAAAAAAATATATGTTTTAATTATTCAGTAAAATCCTAATTTCACATCATATCAGATGTTAAAAAAAATTAATTTCATTTATTTTTTGCACATTTCTCATCAAATAAGAGCATTTTTAAACTTTTTTGAAAACTTTTTTTTAACCTTGGTAAAATCTTGATTTTGTGTCATGTCACCAGATTGTCAAAAATTTTGAAAATGTTTGAATAAATTTCTTTTTTTTTTCCTGCATGTTTCTTATCAAATTAGAGCATTTTGATAATTATTTTCTAAAATCCAAATTTTATATTTCATGTGGTCAGATGGTGAAAAGGTTTGATAAAAGTTTTTGTAAAATTTTGTATCTTCTCTGCATTTTTCTCATCAAATTTGAACATTGAGTAATTTCCTAGATTTTTTTGTTTTTGTTTCGATAGTCCTAATTTCGTATGTCAGGATTTTCAGAATGTTTTCCTTTCAGCATATTTTTCATCAAGTTAGAGCAATTAAACAGTTTCTCAGAATCCTAATTTAGTGTCATCTTTGGTTTACGATAGAATTATAAAATGTTGTCGAATTTCCTTTCTAAATTTTATCTCATCTGCACGTTTCTCATCAGTGTTTTGACAAATTTATCTGTCTTTTGTGTAAAGATAATCCAAAGGATGACAGTATACCTTTGTGTGTGTGTGTGTGTTTGTCTGTGCATGTGCAAAGCTCACCGCTTCCATGGCTCAGGCGTCAGCTTCCACAGCCCCTGTCAAAACCATCCCTGTGAGGAAGAGGTGTCAGATCTGTCCCTCCAAAGACTGTATAACGCGCATCTGCCGTGGCTTCGAGAATTACATATGCACAGGCTGCGCACTGTGCACACAAAATTATAATCATCCTTGCAGACATAAGAAAATAACAGTTAGTCATGTTTAACAAGAGTCAGAGCCAAAAGAGAGGAAGAAGAAATGGGGGAAAAAAGGAGAACAATTCAGTAGTTTAGTGCCTTTTATTAGACATAAGGAGACGATACAAAACATCCACCACTCAATATTCTGTATCCTTCATATACACATCGCTCCCCATCAGACCTTCATAAGTTTTTTTTTTTTTTTTTAAATCAAGGATATTCTGCTTTAAACACGCACAAGGAATGTTGTATGTATGTTAACTACATCAAATGGTTTTTGAGCCAGGAGTGGAATTAAGGAGTCATTCAAGTTTTGGAATTTGCATGTTAAAAAAAACAAAAGAACAAAGAAACAATGGATAAAGGGAAAAGGCAATCAACCATACACACAAATATATGTTTAACCATGTTTCCCCAGTGGTCCTGAAATAACTTGTGCAATTGAGAGTGAATTAGTCAACACTAAAGTTAGTTTTAACTAAACACTAAGTTTGGCAAAAAAGGAGTTGAATGAGTATCTGTCAGGAAAGGATTGTTGGAAAACTTCAGTTGTTTCATTTTCCTCTACAATTTCCCAAATGAAACTTAGGACAAACCCGTCTTTGAACTTCAACATCCTCAGTTTTCCTTCATAGTTTTCTTTCTGTGTGTTTTGTTCCTATCCTCTATTTTCTTGAACTGGAATAAGTCTATTTGTGGAATCATTTTTTGTACTGTCACCTGAATCCAAACCCACCCACAATATCCCTCCCTAGATTTTTCCCAAAAAAAAGTGCTAATTCTGCCTTTGCCCTTTTCCAAATCGCACTGGAATGAACAGCTAAACTCAACAGATGTGTCTGAAAGGCCTCGACTGAAGCCGAGAGGAGGAAGAGGTGCACAAGATTTATATAGGGTAACCTTCCAAGCTGACTACTGATGTACCGCCAAGCTTTTCAGCCAAGTTACGCCGCTCCTTGAGGTCTTCAAGGCCGTTCACCTGCCACTCATGCTTGATACCTGGACATGAAACATTAAGAATGAGATGTTATGCATGTTATGCCACTTGTAAACAAAATCATTAAAATAAAACAAATGCTATCGTGGTTAGCACCTGCACAATGTTTTCTTGAACCAAATGTGACCAGATCCCAAAAAACAATGGTTTCTGCCAGTTGAACTTTGGTGTAGTTTACCATGTGTGTTTCATAAGAACAAACACCATCTTACAAAACTAAAACTTAGAGTCTTCACAAATCTGTCTAATAAGATGTAGACCTTGTCTCGTGGCTTTGTGGTTTGGTAATATATAATAAATTGAATGCTTTTTTAAAGTCAATCACAAAATCAGGATTTAAACATGACTAGTGCAAAGCTGAAGTTGTTATAAGCATGATGCTTTACATCAGGGGTCTCAGACTCGCGGCCCGGGGGCCAGGTGCGGCCAACAGTACAATATGTTGTGGCCCCTCACCTTAAAAGAAAGGTATAATATCAGTGTGGCCCGCGGAGAAAGTGGGCTTCCGAAGAGCCAATCAGCAAGCTCCCGCGCGCCGTCCCTTGTCGTGGCTAGGCTAGGCTAGGCTACACCAGCTTCGTGCACTTCAGGCTTGCAACAACAGCACGGCGTGTAATGAACAGCCAGACAGCAGTCGCCTTTGCGCTTGCCCTCTATCGTGCTTTCTACCACGAATGTCATGATGAAGCGCAAAAAGAACGGCGACTGTTACCGGGTTGTTTATCGTGTACGCTGCTGTTACAGGTAGAAGCGTGTGACGGTGCATCTGTAGCTGCTCTGACACTCCCCGACCGGCGTCTCTCGCTCTGGCTCGAGAGCGGGAAGCGCTCTCCTGGTTAAAGGACGCTCCGTCACAAACCGGAAATGACGCCAGGGGCAGCGCTGCCTATGACAACGTGAGAGCATTCTCCACAAAACTTGTGTTATTGAAAGCCCAGCTCTCTCAGACAAACCATTGCCATTTCCCAGCATGCAAGACACTCGTGGATGCAGGCACACCATTCAGAGAGAAATATGTTGATGATATTTTGAAGCTACAGAAGCTACACAAGACTTCAAGACGCACAGAGACACTTTTCAAATTTTTGCGGATCCCTTTACCTTTGATGTGCAAGATGTCCCTCCTGTGTTTCAAATGGAGCTCATTGACCTGCAATGCAACTCTGACCTCAAAGCCAAGTTAAGGGAGATGAGTGGAAAAGCAGACAAGCATGGGCAATTTTTGAGAGAATTGCCCCCCAACTTGCCTGAGCTGAACTTCAATAAGTCCAAGTACAGGTCTTAGACTTACTGATGATCATCTTCAAGCCATACTGAGGGTCTCAACTGCTTCCTCTCTCAAGCCAAATGTGGTTCAGATTTGTGAAAAGAAGCGCTGTCAAGTATCTGGCAGCAAGCAGTAGGCAAGAGGAGCCATGTTCAGAAGAACCGTTCATGATTTTCACTCAATGTTCAAAACACTCCATGTTCAGAAGAAATCATTAAAACTGTTAACATTTGAGGACTTTTTTTAAAAAACTTTATTGTAGAATCCCTTACGCGGCCCACCCTCACCCAGACTCTGCCTCCAGTGGCCCCCAGGTAAATTGAGTTTGAGACCCCTGCTTTACATCATCATCGTTGTTGTTGTTAATGAGGACACAGAGCAGTTTTTTAACTGATATTTGAATGTTTTCAATTTTGTATTAACAAAATTTGATTAATCCCCCTTTGTTAAGAAACAAATAAAAACTCAAATTTAAAATGACTTACCATCAAATTTTTTCTTGATGGCTTCTTTTGAACTGGCATAGACCATCTTGCTTTTCAAATTAGCACTGTCTGGAGCCCTGCAACAAAAACAACAAAACTGTATTGCAATGGTCATGAACATTCATAACTCCCCACTGTTTAACTACAGTCGCACTGACCAGAAGATAAAGACCAGATCCTCCTTCTTCATTTCTTTGGTCTCGTAGGTGGCATCATACAGGGCGTAGCGACAATCATCTGGGGGCAGCATCTTCACAAAGTGCAGGTATGGGTCCTTGACATTCTTTCCCACTTCACCCTGCAGGATCTCCTCATTTTCAGCCACAATAATGTTCTTCATGTCATCGCTCAGACGGAACAGGACGGCCTTCTTTCTCTTCTTTTTTTCCTCCTCATCTGCTTGAGCCTTGCGCACCTTCATGTCATTAAAGATGGAAACTACTACATCTGTGACTTTCACACCGGAAGTCTGTGAAGATAGTTTTTTGCAAAGAGTTAATGTGGTAAATTTATAGTCATGTTAAAAATTCCCTTTGCCCATTTATTGAGCAACAAATGTTAAAGCCTAGTTTTTTTTTTACTTTACACACATTGGATAGCTCAAAAACAAATAAAGGTCTTGAGCCTCAGAGTCATTTGTTTGTTTGTTTTTTCAAAAGAAAAAACCTCCACAGCATTTGTTTCTGGGAAATCAGGCTCCACTTAATTTGGTGGTCAACTGGCAGCACTGTTACACTGATTTTCCATGAAACGCAAGTGCACTGTGCAGACTAGGTTCGTTAACATTTACTTGGTTTTAAAGATCCTGAGTTATAAAGTTTGTTATGAATCTCTGTCATACTCAGGGACAAAATACTGAAATAAAAATATTTTATTTTTAAATATTTTATTTTGCCATAAGGTTTTAGAACTTTACTGTTTTAATGCAAATCTGTGGTTTGTGGTGAATCTAACTGGTCAGTTTGGAGGGAAATCTAAATTCTGAAGATTTCAGTGGAATGAAATAAGTTTCTGTATCAGTAAATATCGTGTGGTGGCTGAACTGTACCTTAGAATTAACAGCTTAATCTTTACAGCAATTTTTAGGCTTAAACAAAATGGTAGTTACTGCGGTTAACAGACTAGTTGTGATCTGCTCTGAGAACAGGAAGTCACACAGGAAGAAACAGCAAAATGGCCTCAGAGCGCAGCATGTGACTATCACACAGTCATCAGAAGCGTTTTTGGTAAGAGTGACAGGACAGTAGATTTGCAATACATAGATGTGACCATGAAAGACAAAGTTGGTGCATTGTGATTTGTTAATGATCTCTCCTGCCCACACTTCATTCAGGGCAAACGTTTTATCACATTTTAAATTTATGAGGTCTGATTATTAAAACGCAGAAGAGTAGGAATAAAATATGTGGCCTTTGAAAAGCCAAAGTCCACTGCAAATGTGTGCGAGGGCATGGCCAGCAGGTACTAAAAAAAAAAAAAAAAAAAAAAAAAAAAATTCATGAGCGCTTTGGACAAACAAAAACTTGATGTGTGTCTCTTTGGACCATATAGATGACCATGTGGTTAAGGGTGCAGTCAGGAGTTATGTGTTTCAGCACAGAGATCGAGCACAGACAATGGCGCCTCTGTTGAACTATAGAACACCAGTCACACCACTGAGTCAGAACTGCTCCACAAACTCATTCAGGTCTTCTGATTCTTGTTTGAGGCATTCAACAGGAAAATGAAGTCTCAGGGGGAAAGGGACAAAAACTGCAAACAGCAGGCAACATGTCAATGGAGGAAAAGAGCGAAACAATGAAAGGGAAATAATGGAGCAGGAAAGATGGGAGACGGAACTCAACTGTAAAGCAGCACAAGCAGACCCTGTGTGTTTGCTCAGGGCGTGAGGCCTGTGCCAGATTACAGTCAATTTAAGTGTAATAATTAACCAGAAATTACTTACTCACTTCCCTAAGCTACCCATCAAGAAGTATAGATTTAAACCAAGTTTTCTTTCAAAGTCCCTGGGACATTTGCCATATTTTTAAAACACATTCTCACATGAAACTGTTGTCTCAGTCAACTGCTGAGAGTGAAACTGAGAAATAAAGGCCAGATTATTCACATTTTGACAGTCAGGCATGGATTCATCACCCAAGAATCATCACCCTAGAGTGTTTCTCTACTTGGTTCGACAGTTTTTCTTTGTCTACCAAGATAAGATTTTGTTGTTGTTGCAGCAGCCGGAGAATCACCATGGTGATTCCAGAGCGCTCACCTTATCTAATCAGACACACGGATTCTTTTCTTTACAGGAGTCAAGGTTCAAGTGACTCAACTGAGTCACAGTCTTGATTAAGGCTGATTTATCATTTTTGCAATTAGGCTTAGTTACTAAAATGAAAAAAAAAAAAAAACTCAAAATCTGTCATATGTTGTACATTTTAACTGAAAGAAATACATGGATAAAGAAAATCTTTGATACAGTTCTGTAAAACGGCGTTCAGAATTATTCAGTTGGACCACAAGGGGGAGCCGACATTTACTATGAATACCAGAATATAGTGTTAAAATAGGTTCACAAATTTAAACCTTGCTCTATATTTCTCTGTATGAAAGCTTCGGGTGGCAAACCAAATGCAGTTAAGACAGAGGGGCATAAGACACAATGTGTTTTGTTTATTTCAATGCGCATTACATTACAAGTGTCGATGTCAGAGTTTATTAGTTTAATAAAGCGGAATAAGGATTATTTAAAAACTAGCGACATTTATTGAGCCTAATCTCACTGGCAAACACTGGTTTTACCTACAAAAAACACAAGTCATAGGGGAAAGGAAAGTTGCGCTGCTGGAAGATAAAGCTGATGTCAGATTTTTAATGGTACAGACAGTAAATACTACAACAGTATTGCTGTGACAAAATGAACCGAGGGCGTGTTCAACTGATTTAATGTTAATAAATAAATAAATAATTCAGTATAAATGTTGCATACGGGTTGTTTTAGGTGACGTGTCCGAGACTAAGGGGTTTGCATTATCATTAGAAAAAGTGTCCATAATAATAAGAATTCTAATGGCCATTTGGATTGATCCAACAATAGAGCATAGTTCTCGCTTCCGTCATTTCCGTCGAATGGGTATGAATTAATTTATTATCGGAGGGGGTAATACGTTAATCGTCCTCTCGAGGAATCCTGTGAAAATCTAATAATGTGAAGAGACAATTAGTCTAAACCGCTTCGCCAATTACAAGCGTGAATAACGAAAAATATGCAGGACATCGACGGTAGCCCGTTAACTGCAGCTAACGGATCCAAACAAGCCTTTCATAACGCAGACAATATGGTCAAAAATATTACCAAAATCCGTTTATACGCGCGGCAGGTTACTAACGTCCTAAATGACACCGAAATAAATGTTAAAACAGAAACGTTATACCACAGAAACAAACGGAGAGGTTCTTTGCACCAATTTCAGGGTGGGGCCATGAATGCAGCACATGTGAGCGCTAGCTTGCTATATAAGGAAAAACTGTGCCCAAACGCACCATTCGTCAATTCATACATTAGCTCACACTGCGCCATTCAACGAAAAGACGCAGTACTTACAAAATTAACACAAACTGTGGGCTTTGACCCAATTTTGAACCACGTAATTTTGTGGTTCATGTGCAATTATCAGCAAAGGAAACAGTGTAGAGACAAAGAACTGGAAATCACAGCAAGCGGCCACAACGGATGTCTCTGACGCTTCGCTAACAATAGCGGTAGCTAAGCTCGGCCCTGAGGCGCTGCTGCACCTGCCAGCTCCGCGCTGTTCTCCCGGGTACCAGAGACACGCACACTAAAACACAATGACATTTTCTACACATACATCCTTAACGCAAAACACAGTGTCGATATGCGTACAACGCGAACGATCATTTAAACGGCTTTATTTTTTTAAGAGAGAAACCAGATGAAATAGCGCCACTGGCGTGGTACCGTTACCTGGTTCACAGAATTTCACCCAGTGACGCTAACTAATTTAAACGACTCACTCCCCCTCTGTCTCTGACGGCGAGGATATAAACTAGCCTACGCTAACGGACACTCCGGAAAGGAGGAGAGCAGAACTAGAACGCGACCTGTTCTGTAATTTTTGCAAATAAATCACATTTAATCTATAAACCACACGTTCACAGCAGCACTGAAACATAATTTGACATGTTCAAACGGTTGAACTTACCATAGCTTTAAGTGAGTGCGATCAGTGCCGGGCTGAGACTGAATGGACTGTGGCAGTGAACCGTCGCTCGCGTTCATCCACTGCATACGTAACGTGAACGCGCCCATCAAAGCGCGATCACGCCACGTAAATTGCGTGTTGGGTTGCGCGCGTCTGCTGACTGACTGTTGTTTCCTGCCTAGTTGTCATTGCATATAAAGCAACCTTCAACCTTAAAATGTAATCTAACTCATCATTAACTATTCTCTGAGGCCAGTGCTTAACAGAAAAAAGTGTGGTTATACGTCAAAGTAAATCAAATTTAAACGACACTGACACCGCACAGTAAATCCTATTACTTGTTTTTATCATATATATACCGTGTAAAGTGTAGTTATGGTAAAAGGTATGTGACAGAAGATTGAACATAGCACTATTACTTAACACAGTGCCTTCATTTAGTCAGATTACATACTTCAACTTTCAACAGGACCATGCAACAAACCTGCATATGGAAATATCTATCAAAATCAAAAAGCTACTAAACCAAATCTGTTAACGACCTCTGAGGCTTCAATCTGGTTCCCATATAAGGACCGAGTTTATGTTGGTGGTGTTTCTTTTATTAAGAGCTGTTGTGGTGTATAAAACGGGGAATAATATATGTTTTGAAGCACAAATATACTCTATATATGGATGGATGGATGTATATATTCGTCAAGTGTGTGTATATATGTATATACACAGAGGCAAGTATATATATGTGTGTGTGTGAGAGAGAGAGATATTTGAGCGTCCCTTTTAATATTTGAACATGTGCTATTAATGACTGCACCAATGGCGCTGTGGCTGATGAATAAATAAAGTGTCTGCTCTGTTTTGACCGACATTCAGCTGCTCGCCAGGCGCAAAGCAGTTTTCAAGAAGGGAGGAAATGCTCTGCCCTGTATCCTCTACCTCCTCCCGCCCTCTTGCCTATTCCTCCTCCCCAGCGGTTTTTGTTGAACTCACTTCCTAATATGGAAGTGAATGGCGAGCAAGCGACCAGTGAACGCGCATCGCTCTCACAATGATGGGAGCGAGAGAGGAAGGGAGAGAGAAACAAAGAGAGAGAGAAAGAGGAAGAGGCGGGGGTGGGCCGCGCGACGCCGATTACCATATAAGGAAAGAAGGGACACGAAATTCACGACAGCGTAGTTTTGTATAGAAAGACTGAGTAAGAGAGAAAGAGATGGGGTGGGGGTTAGACAGAGGAAGCCAGTGTGAGGATGAGAAACAGTGTCAGACTTCAGGCAGAGGAAGGGAGAGCAGCTGAGTCCACAATATTTCTACACAGAAAAATAACGAGCGCGTGCTCACACACGCACACACGTTCTAGACAGTAGAATGGTCCACTCATTCATTCATTTATCGAATAAAAGGTTACCAGTCTAGATTTGTTTGTATTTTTAAGTTTTAAGTACTAAAAGAATTGACAAATGTGAGTATCACTAAAAGAAAAATATAAATGATACAATGAGAGAATAATTGTGACTGTAATTGTATTTTCCAAGCTAATAATATCTATAGTATATCTACTGTATACATCTATTAAAAAAAAATCTATCTAAAAAAATTCCAAAGATCTACTAAGCTAATTACTTCATCTTGAGTCACTCAAATCCTTCCAGCCAAAAAGCTGTCGCTGGGTAAGAGCGAGGTACACCATGGACAGTTGTCCAGTCGTGGTCTTTGCTCCCATTTGACAGGTTACAATAAGAGAATCAAACATGTAAACAACCAAATGAATGGTGTCTGACCCGCATACTCAACTTTCACTAACAATTTCCTGCTTCTCATCTGTGACAAATGAGCATGGCAGAAAAAAAACGTGAATCCTGTTTCTGTTATTTTGCCCTGTGACATATTTATGCTCTTTGATTCTGCATACTTTCATGAAGTGGAAGGATTTCACATATGTTTTCTAAGGTAGAGTGCCAATCCTAACAGTCCAAAGGGTTAAAACACAGACATTTCATCCCTCCAATACAGGCCAGATTTAGCGACAGACAACTATTCAGATACATGTCCATACCTATTGACATTTACGAGTTTTCAAATAATGTGAGGAAAATAGAAGAACTCAGAGAAACGCATACCGACTGAACTGGTGATCTAGACTAGACCGGCAGTGTAACTGTCCTGTGTAAAAGACAGAAATGAACACATTAGAGACTGATCATGTCATACATCCCTAATAAGGCTCATGTTGCACAGCACTTGGAATGGTATTTTGATTGTCGGAAGAGAAATCTAACTTGTTTTTTTTAAACAATACCTCATATCTTTAGTCTGTACTGCACAGTCTAGGAATGATCACAACAGTCATTGATAAAGTACAGCACACCTTTATTCACTTTTGGAAATAGCAGTGTGCAAAGACAAAGTTAAGTGCAAAAGTATGTGCTTGTGTTTTGTTGAGGCTTACGCTACTTAA